AACACTTGTCCTGTTTTCTGACGAACCTTACCTCAAGATTGATGGACTGACCACATCGACTCAAGGTTGAGGGAATGATTACCTTATTCTCCTCCTGTTCTTCAAGCTTCTCTGTGTATGGACTGATGAAGCCACTGTGTGACGAAACGTTTCCTTAATAAAGATACCCAAGAGTTTCACATGTGTCTAATTTATCAAACCTTACCTAACCTAACTTAAGAATTAGTCCTCACGGGCTTAGAATCATAGATGCTTAGAATCTCAGTTCTCCTCAGACGCTCAGAATCTGAAATTTCGCTGAGTTGAGAGCCTCTCACCACTGAAAATATGCAAGTAACCCGGAAGTGCTGCGTCCCCTCGTGTCGATCCTTACATAATGTTCCCAGCCCTGTCTTGTACGTGTTGAGCTAATGTATAATTTATCTCTAAGTCGCTAATAATTAAATTACAATACAATATAGTGAATAACTTCATCACTCTCAAGTGACACGTGTCCACGATGTTGATACCTGGTGACTAGGCTTGTAGGAGTTGTACCAACGTGTGTGACCATGTGTATAACACTGGTGCCCACGTGTGTATAACTCTGGTGACCACGTGTACATTGGTGATGACGTGTACAACACTAATGACACTTCATGAATATGAGGAGACAGTAACATGGTGTGGTCTTCAGTGCAAATATTTCATGACGGATATGACGAAGACAGTGAGGAAGACAGTAGTGTATACAAGACAGTGGTGTATACAAGACAGTGGTGTATACAAGACAGTAGTGTATACAAGACAGTAGTGTATACAAGACAGTGGTGTATACAAGACAGTAGTGTATACAAGACAGTGTGTATACAAGACAGTAGTGTATAACAAGACAGTAGTGTATACAAGACAGTAGTGTATACAAGACAGTAGTGTATACAAGACAGTGGTGTATACAAGACAGTGGTGTATACAAGACAGTGGTGTATACAAGACAGTAGTGTATACAAGACAGTAGTGTATACAAGACAGTAGTGTATACAAGACAGTAGTGTATACAAGACAGTAGTGTATACAAGACAGTAGTGTATACAAGACAGTAGTGTATACAAGACAGTAGTGTATACAAGACAGTGGTGTATACAAGACAGTGGTGTATACAAGACAGTAGTGTATACAAGACAGTAGTGTATACAAGACAGTGGTGTATACAAGACAGTGGTGTATACAAGACAGTAGTGTATACAAGACAGTAGTGTATACAAGACAGTAGTGTATACAAGACAGTGATGTATACAAGACAGTGATGTATACAAGACAGTGATGTATACAAGACAGTGATGTATACAAGACAGTGGTGTATACAAGACAGTGGTGTATACAAGACAGTGGTGTATACAAGACAGTGGTGTATACAAGACAGTGGTGTATACAAGACAGTGGTGTATACAAGACAGTAGGTGTATACAAGACAGTGTGTATACAAGACAGTGTGTATACAAGACAGTATGTATACAAGACAGTGTGTATACAAGACAGTGTGTATACAAGACAGTATGTATACAAGACATGGTGTATACAAGACAGTGTGTATACAAGACAGTGGTGTATACAAGACAGTGGTGTATACAAGACAGTGGTGTATACAAGACAGTGGTGTATACAAGACAGTGGTGTATACAAGACAGTGGTGTATACAAGACAGTGGTGTATACAAGACAGTGGTGTACACAGTGGCGTATACAAGACAGTGATGTATATATAGACAGTGGTGTATACAAGACAGTGGTGTATACAAGACAGTGGTGTATACAAGACAGTGGTGTATACAAGACAGTGGCGTATACATATGTAGACAATGGTGTATACATGGCAGTGGTGTATACACAGGAAGACAGTGGTGTATACAAGACAGTGGTGCATATATAGGGAGACAATGGTGTATACAAGACAGTGGTGTATACATAGGTAGACAGTGGTGTATACAAGACAGTGGTGTATACATAGGTAGACAATGGTGTATACAAGACAGCGGTGTATACACAGGAAGACAGTGGTGTATACAAGACAGTAGTGCATATATAGGGAGAAAGTGGTGTATACAAGACAGTGGTGTATACATAGGTAGACAGTGGTGTATATAAGACAGCGGTGTATACACAGGAAGACAGTGGTGTATACAAGACAGTAGTGCATATATAGGGAGACAGTGGTGTATACAAGACAGTGGTGTATACATAGGTAGACAGTGGTGTATATAAGACAGTGGTGTATACAAGGAAGACGGTAGTGGTGTATACAAGACAGTGGTGCATATATAGGGAGACAGTGCTGTATACAAGACAGTGGTGTATACATAGGTAGACAGTGGTGAATACAAGACAGTGGTGCATACATAGGGAGACAGTGGTGTATACAAGACAGTGGTGTATACATAGGTAGACAGTGGTGATATACAAGACAGTGGTGTATACATAGGGAGACAATGGTGTATACAAGACAGTGGTGTATAAATAGGGAGACAGTGGTGTATACAAGACAGTTGTATACATAGGAGACAGTGGTGTATACAAGACAATGGAAAAGACAGTGGTGTATATTTAGGGAGACAATGGTGTATACAAGAAAGTGGTGTATACATAGACAATGGTGTATACAAGACAGTGGTGTATACATAGGTAGACAATGGTGTATACAAGACAGTGGTGTATACATAGGTAGACAATGGTGTATACAAGACAGTGGTGTATACATAGGTAGACAATGGTGTATACAAGACAGTGGTGTATACATAAGTAGACAATGGTGTATACAAGATATTGGTGTATACACAGGGAGACAATGGTGTATACGAGGCAGTGGTGTATACATTGGGAGACAATGGTGTATACAAGACAGTAGTGTATACATGGAAAATACAGTGGTGTATACATGAAGACAGTAGTGTATACATGAAGACAGTGGTATATACATGGGGAAGATAATGGTGTATATGTGAAGATGACTGGGGTATAGATGATGACAATGGTGTATACATGGGAAAGACAATGGTGTATACAAGATGAAGGCAGTGGTGTACATGGGGAAGACAGTAGTGTATACTTGGAAAACAGTGACATGCACATGATAAAATGACGTACATGAGGGTGACATTAGTGTACATGAAGACAAAGTTGTATACATGGGAAGACTTGTATTGTCTGCCAGAAAACAAGTGAAATACCTTGTGTGTGTGTATGAGTGAAGCAGTGTACACCATGGGTGTACACATGGGTGTCCGTGTACACACCAGAGCCACGATTGACGTAAACATGTGTGTACATGTGTACTCAGGTTGAGGAACCAGGTGGTGTAGGTGGGTGGTTCAGCAGTAACACACACACACGTATTACGTACACAGTGTATAACCGAACCACTAGTAACGTACACAGGTGCGTAAACTAGATTCTATTAGCGCACAGAGGTGTACACACCACATGCATCACTAACGCAAATTGTATGTACACCACATACAGCGCTAGCGCATACAGATATGAACATCACAGCTGTTGCTAATAAATACGGTGTACACGAGATCCACCACTAACCCACAGAAGTGTGTACACTACAAACATCACTAACGTACAGGAGTGTGTACACTACAAACATCACTAACGTACAGGAGTGTGTACACTACAAACATCACTAACGTACAGGAGTGTGTACACTACAAACATCACTAACGTACAGGAGTGTGTACACTACAAACATCACTAACGTACAGGAGTGTGTACACTACAAACATCACTAACGTACAGGAGTGTGTACACTACAAACATCACTAACGTACAGAAGTGTGTACACTACAAACATCACTAACGTACAGAAGTGTGTACACCACAAACATCACTAACGTACAGGAGTGTGTACACTACAAACATCACTAACGTACAGAAGTGTGTACACTACAAACATCACTAACGTACAGGAGTGTGTACACTACAAACATCACTAACCCACAGGAGTGTGTACACTACAAACATCACTAACGTACAGGAGTGTGTACACTACAAACATCACTAACGTACAGGAGTGTGTACACCACAAACATCACTAACGTACAGGAGTGTGTACACTATAAACATCACTAACGTACAGGAGTGTGTACACCACAAACATCACTAACGTACAGGAGTGTGTACACAACAAACATCACTAACGTACAGGAGTGTGTACACCACAAACATCACTAACGTACAGGAGTGTGTACACCACAAACATCACTAACGTACAGGAGTGTGTACACCACAAACATCACTAACGTACAGGAGTGTGTACACACAAACATCACTAACGTACAGGAGTGTGTACACCACAAACATCACTAACGTACAGGAGTGTGTACATCACAAACATCACTAACGTACAGGAGTGTGTACACCACAAACATCACTAACGTACAGGAGTGTGTACACCACAAACATCACTAACGTACAGGAGTGTGTACACACAAACATCACTAACGTACAGGAGTGTGTACACCACAAACATCACTAACGTACAGGAGTGTGTACACCACAAACATCACTAACGTACAGGAGTGTGTACAACTCAAACATCACTAACGTACAGGAGTGTGTACAACTCAAACATCACTAACGTACAGGAGTGTGTACAACACAAACATCACTAACGTACAGGAGTGTGTACACCACAAACATCACTAACGTACAGGAGTGTGTACATCACAAACATCACTAACGTACAGGAGTGTGTACACCACAAACATCACTAACGTACAGGAGTGTGTACACAACAAACATCACTAACGTACAGGAGTGTGTACACCAAACATCACTAACGTACAGGAGTGTGTACAACTCAAACATCACTGTCGCACACAGTGTACACCAGGGTCACCACTAATACAGACAGGTGTGTACCACTAACGCAGATGGGTGTGTACACCAGAACAACCACTGACGCAGATGTGTACGCACCAGAGCCATGACTAACGTAAACAGGCGTGTACATGTACTCACGTTAAGGAGCCAGGTGATGTTGTAGGCGGGAGGATCAGCATGTACGTCACACAGGAAGATGAGAGAGTCACCCTCACTCACCTCCCACTCGCCACCCACGCCCACACGCCCACCCTCCACCCGCAGCCGCGTCTCCGGCACATCTGCAGGGATACATGTACGTAGCAGAGGTATACATATGCAAAGAAGAGGAATACATATTCATAGAGTTACACATATCAGACGTATGCATATACATTTTGGGGTAAATGGCACTCAGAAGCAATAGATACCTTTATTAAAGAACATTTCGCCCATAGAAAAGGGTTTTTAAGTCAGAGAATTCATAAGATGAATGTATTTGTAAGTAGAGAAAAAGGAAGCACTGCAGCGTGTACACCTACCTGTACAGTGTATACCTGACTATGTTGGCTCCTGGACCCCTAAATAACGTTACAGCTGTGGTGTATGTTAAAGGTTTAACTAACATGAAGTTACTCTGGTTTGTGTAGTGTTACATTCTTAACATTCATCTTTGTCAAATTCTTTAACAGACTTAAGTTAAACATACATGTCTCGATGTATTACACATGTAATGTCTGTGTTATGTTCTGCATTTATCCTGCTGATCTCTGACCCATGATATAACGTCCTGTGTAGTTTTTACACAACATTTGTGACATTCATTGCAATGAATGATATAGGATCTTGATTGTTCTGCATCACGGTGGTCATGTTTGGATCCGCCTGCCTGGTTTATTTATTCCTTCTGCAAAATTGCAAGCTCCTGAAGAAGCGTTGCCTGCAACATGAAAGGCCAGAGCTATCATTCAGTTCCTCCCTTTAGTTGTTTTGCGTTTTTATATATATATATATAATATATATATATATATATATATATATATATATATATTATATATATATATATATATATATATATATATATATATATATATATTATATATATATATATGTAGTAGGTTGGTAGACAGCAACCGCCCAGGGAAGTACTACCGTCCTGCCAAGTGAGTGTAAAACGAAAGCCTGCAATTGTTTTACATGATGGTAGGATTGCTGGTGTCTTTTTTCTGTCTCATAAACATGCAAGATTTCAGGTACGTCTTGTTACTTGTTACTTCTACTTACAATTAGGTCACACTACACATACATATACACGTTTATGTATACACACTCATCTGAGTTTTTTTTTTTTATTTTATCTTATTAATAGTTCTTGTTCTTATTGCTTGTCCTTTTATATCCATGGGGAAGTGGAATAAGAATCTTTCCTCCGTAAGCCATGCGTGTTGTAAAAGTTAACTAAATTGCCGGGAACAATGGGCTAGTAACCCCTTTTCCTGTATAGCTTACTAAAAAGAAAAAAGAAGAAAACCGTCAAAGTGGGATGTTTGAATGTGCGTGGATGTTGTGCGAATGATAAGAAAGAGATGATTGTGGATATTATGAATGAGAAGAAGCTGGATGTCCTGGCTTTAAGTGAAACAAAGCTGAAGGGGGTGGGAGAGTTTCAGTGGGGAGAAATACATGGGATTAGGTCAGGGGTTTCAAATAGAGTTAGAGCTAAAGAAGGATTATCAATAATGTTGAAGGATAAGTTATAGCAGTTGAAAAGGGAATATGTATGTATAAATTCAAGGATTATGTGGAGTAAAATGAGGGATGTGAAAAGTGGGTTATATTAAGTGTTTATGCACCTGGAGAAGAGAGAAGTGTAGAGAAGAGAGAGAGAGATTTTGGGAAATGTTGAATGAATGCGTGGGGAGTTTTGAATAAAGTGTGAGAGTACTTGTGGTTGGGGATTTCAGTGCTAAAGTGGGTAAAAATGTTGTGGAGGGAGTAGTAGGTAAATTTGGGGTGCCAGGGGTAAGTGAAAATGGGTAGCCTTTGTTACGTCTATTCTTAGAGCGTAACAGCCTTTAATTGAGCTATATGTAGAAAGAGGTTTGGTAATAAGTAATACATATTTTATGAAAAAGAAGATAAATAAGTATACAAGGTATGATGTAGCACGTAATAAAAGTTGTTTGTTAGATTATGTATTGGTGGATAAAAGGTTGATGGGTAGGCTCCAGGATGTACACGTTTATAGAGGGGCAACTGATATATCAGATCATTATATAGTTGTAGCTACAGTTAGAGTAAAAGGTAGATGGGACAAAAGAAAAATGGCAACAAGAAGTAAAAGGGAGGTGAAAGTGTATAAACTAAGGGAGGAGGAAGTTCAGGTGAGATATAAGCAACTATTGGCAGAAAGGTGGGCTGGTGCAAGTATGAGTAATGGGGGGAGTTTGAAGAGGGTTGGAATAGTTTTAAAAATGCAGTATTAGAATGTGGGGCAGAAGTTTGTGGTTATAGAAGGGTGGGTGCTGGAGGAAAGAGGAGTAATTGGTGGAATGATGAAGTAAAGGGTGTGATAAAAGAGAAAAGGGTAGCTTATGAGAGATTTTTACAAAGTAGAAGTGTTATAAAAAGAACAGAGTATATGGAGAGTAAAAGAAAGGTGAAGAGAGTGATGAGAGAGTGCAAAGGGAGAGAAGATGATAGTGGGAGAGGCACTGTTAAGAAATTTTGATGAAAATAAGAAAAAAATTTGGAGTGAGATAAACAAGTTAAGAAAGCCTAGGGAAAGTATGGATTTGTCAGTTAAAAACAGAGTAGGGGAGTTAGTAGATGGGGAGATGGAGGTATTGGGTGGATGGCGGGAATATTTTGAGGAACTTCTAAATGTCGATGAAGAAAGGGAGGCGGTAATTTCATGCACTTGTCAGGGAGGTATAACTTCTTTTAGGAGTGAAGAAGAGCAGGATGTAAGTGTGGGGGATGTGCGTGTGGCATTACGTTGAATGAAACTGGGTAAAGCAGCTGGAACTGGCGGGATCATGATAGAAATGTTAAAAGCAGGCGGACTATAGTGTTGGAGTGGTTGATATTTTTGTTTAATAAATGTATAAAAGAGGGGAAGGTACCTAGGGATTGGCAGAGTGCTTGTATAGTTCCTTTATATAATAAAGGGGGACAAAAGAGATTGCAAAAATTATAGGGGAATAAGCTTACTGCGTATACCAGGAAAAGTGTACGGTAGGGTTATTGAAAGAATTAGAGGTAAGACAGAGAGTAGGATTTCGGATAAGCAAGGAGGCTTTAGAGTGGGTAGGGGATGTGTAGATCAAATGTTCACATTAAAGCATATATGTGAAAAGTATTTTGATAAAGGTAGGGAAGTTTTCATTGCATTTATGGATTTAGAAAAGGCATATGATAGAGTGGATAGAGGAGCAATGTGGCAGATGTTGCAAGTATATGGAATAGGTAGTAAGTTACTAAATGCTGTAAAGAGTTTTTATGAGGATAGTGAGGCTCAGGTTAGGGTGTGTAGAAGAGAGGGAGATTACGTCCCGGTAAAAGTAGATCTTAAACAGGTATGTGTAATGTCACCATGGTTGTTTAATATATTTGTAGATGGGGTTGTAAAAGGAGTAAATGCTAGGGTGTTGGGGTGAGGGGTGGGATTTAATTATGGGGAATCAAATACAAACTGGGAATTGACACAGTTACGTTTTGCTGATGATACTGTGCTTATGGGAGATTCTAAAGAAAAGTTGCGAAGGCTAGTGGACGAGTTTGGGAGTGTGTGTAAAGTTAGAAAGTTTAAAGTGAATATAGATAAGAGTATGGTGATGAGGGTATCAAATTATTTAGATAAAGAAAAATTCGATGTCACATTGGAGAGAGGGAGTATGGAAGAAGTGAATGTTTTCAGATATTTGGGAGTTGACGTGTCAGTGGGCTGCAGAAAACAATATGAAGTTCAACGATGAGAAATTTCAATTACTCAGATATGGCAAACACGAGGAAATTAAATCTTCATCAGAGTACAAAACAAATTCTGGCCACAAAATAGAGCGAAATACCAACGTCAAAGACCTGGGAGTGATCATGTTGGAGGATCTCACCTTCAAGGACCATAACATTGTATCAATCGCATCTGCCAGAAAAATGACAGGATGGATAATGAGAACCTTCAAAACTAGGGAGGCCAAGCCCATGATAACACTCTTCAGGTCACTTGTTCTATCTAGGCTGGAATATTGCTGCACACTAACAGCACCTTTCAAGGCAGGTGAAATTGCTGACCTAGAAAATGTACAGAGAACCTTCACGGCGCGCATAACGGAGATAAAACACCTCAATTACTGGGAGCGCTTGAGGTTCCTAAAACTGTATTCCCTGGAACGCAGGCGAGAGAGATACATGATTATATACACCTGGAAAATCCTAGAGGGACTAGTACCGAACTTGCACACGAAAATCACTCACTACGAAAGCAAAAGACTTGGCAGACGATGCAACATCCCCCCAATGAAAAGCAGGGGTGTCACTAGCACGTTAAGAGACCATACAATAAGTGTCAGGGGCCCGAGACTGTTCAACTGCCTCCCAGCATACATAAGGGGGATTACCAACAGACCCCTGGCAGTCTTCAAGCTGGCACTGGACAAGCACCTAAAGTCGGTTCCTGACCAGCCGGGCTGTGGCTCGTACGTTGGTTTGCGTGTTGCCAGCAGCAACAGCCTGGTTGATCAGGCTCTGATCCACCAGGAGGCCTGGTCACAGACCGGGCCGCGGGGGCGTTGACCCCCGGAACTCTCTCCAGGTAAACTCCAGGTCAGCGGATGGGTTTATGAAGGATGAGGTTAACCATAGAATTGATGAAGGAAGAAAGGTGAGTGGTGCATTGAGGTATATGTGGAGACGAAAAACGTTATCTATGGAGGCAAAGAAAGGAATGTATGAAAGTATAGTGGTACCAACTCTCTTATATAGGCGTGAAGCTTGGGTTGTAATTGCTGCAGCGAGGAGATGGTTGGAGGCAGTGGAGATGTCTTGTCTAAGGGCAATGTGTGGTGTAAATATTATGCAAAAAATTCGGAGTGTGGAAATTAGGAGAAGATGTGGAGTTAATAAAAGTATTAGTCAGACGGCTGAAGAGGGGTTTCTGAGGTGGTTTGGTCATTTAGAGAGAATGGATCAAAGTAGAATGACATGGAGAGCGTATAAATCTGTAGGGGAAGGAAGGTGGGGTAGGACTCGTCCTCGAAAATGTTGCAAAGAGGGGGCAATGGAGGTTTTGTGGGCGAGGGGCATGGACTTCCAGCAAGCGTGCTTGAGCGTGTTAGATAGTGAATGGAAACGAATGGTTTTTGGGACCTGAGGAGCTGTTGGAGTGTGGGCAAGATAATATTTGCTGAAGGGATTCAGGGAAACCGGTTATTTTTATATAGCCGGACTTGAATACTGGAAATGGGAAGTACAATGCCTGCACTTTAAAGGAGGAGTTTGGGATATTGGCAGTTTGAAGGGATACGTTATATTTATATATGGTTATAAACTCTTGTATTTGGGCGCCTCTGCAAAAACAGTGATTATGTATGAGCGAGGTGAAAGTGTTTAATGATGATGAAAGTATTTTCTTTTTGGGTCACCCTGCCTCGGTGGGAGACAGCCAACTTTTATACACACACACACACATACACGCACACACACACACACACACACACACACACACACACACACACATATATCTATATATATATATATATATATTATATATATATATATA